CGAAGGCGCTGGGCGCTGAGCTGCGACGCGATGAGCGGCACGCCGAGCCCGAGGCGCTTGTCGTGGTGCCAGCGGCGTGCAATGTGCGAGTTGTAGCCGTCACTGGTCGCCGTCTTGCGACAGAGGATGAACTTGGTGACCATGGACTGCCACGTGGCGACCATGGCATCCGGAACCGCTGTGACCGCCGTGATATGCCACAGCTGCGACAGTAGTACCGTGTTGACGAGCAGGCGCCGCCCTTGGATCGTCCGAGCCCGGCAGCTCCAGCGCTGGAACGCCGCCAGGAAGCGTTCGTTGAGGCGATTCACCTGGAAGTTCTCGGAAAGGCCGTGGCCAAACTCGAGCCCAAGGTACTTGACGGACTGACCCGGAGGCAAGATGTTGAGCACGCCCGCACCCGCGAGGGCGGCCGGCTGCGCACGGTCGTTGAGTACCAGCGTCTTGCACTTGGCGAGGTTGAGGCGGGCACCCGAGACGGCGCAGAACGCGTCGACGATCGCGAGCTGCGCCGCGGCCGTCGCAAGGTCGAGAGACAGCAGCGTCGAGTCGTCGGCAAAGAAGATGCTCGTGATCGTGCTGCCATCAGGCAGCGGCATCCCAAGAAGCGGCTGCGCGCGCAGCATTTCACCGAGAGGCTCCAGGTACAGCACAAAGAGGAGGCACGACAATGGGCAGCCCTGCTTGACGCCGCGCGTCGGCTTGATCTGGGGCCCAAGCGTACCGTTGAAGATGAGCTGGACCACGGGCGAGGCGTACAGAAAGCGCACCCAGCCAAGAAAGCCCGGCCCGACGTTCATCTCGCCGAGGACGTCGAAGAGAAAGCCTTGGTCGACCATGTCGTACGCCTTGGAGAAGTCCAGAAAAGTCGCGTAGTGGTCGTGCCCCTCCAAGGAGCAGTACTGCTGCAGCGCTTGCACGAGGACGACGTGGTCGTGAAGGCGCCGGCCCGGAATAAACCCAGCCTGCGTCGGGTGCACCAGATGCGGCGCATAGCGGGCGAGGCGGTACGCCAGAGCACGCGAGAGCACCTTGACCTCGACGGCCATGAGCGCGATCGGGCGGTAGTTGCCTGGGTCAGCGCGGTCACCCGTCTTGAAGAGTAGCGCGACGGCGCTGCGGCGCTGCATGGGCAGCAGCTGACCATGGTGCTCGAGCTGGTAGGTGAAGACCAGCAGCAGAATCTCCGAGAAGATCTGCGGCGCGACTTGAAATAAGCCAGCAGACCACCCATCGGGCCCGGGCGACTTGGCCGGGTTCATACCGCGCAGCGCATCGCAAAGCTCGCCGGCTGTCAACGGTCGGTCGAGCGCGTAGCGGTCGTCGGCGGACAGGCGCTTCTTGAGGTGACGGAGGACCGCGCGCCGGCGCTCGCGGTTCATCGGCGGCGCGTCGCGCGGCGTCGTCATGATGGAGCGCCAATGGGCTGTGAACTGCGAGCGGACAGTAGCGTCGTCCGTCACAGCGACACCGTTGACCAAGACCGAGTTGATGACGCCTTTCGCACTCTGCGGGCGCCGAAAGAAGTGGGACGAGCCACTCTCGTTGACGTTGGCGTGAAAGTCGAACTGCTGGTCCATCTGGTACTGCGTCTGCTCGGCGAGCGCATCGTCATACGCGCGCTGGGCAGTGTCTACCTTCTCCGCGCCCGCGCCCGACCACGCATGCTCGCGTTTGGCCGCGGCCAGCGACAGCTGGAGCGCGTAGAGGTGCGTCTTGGTCGCCTCAACGTGCAGACCATGCTCGGCGATGAGAGTTTTCTTCATGCGCTTGAGCCAGCCGTACCACATCGCGCCATGGTTGCCGTCCGGCGCGTCGTGCATCTGGGCCAGCAACGCGGTAGCCTCGTCGGTGATCATGTTGGCAATACCAGGGTGCTTCAAAAGCTCACGCGGCAGCCGCCAATACCCGCGTGCAGGCGACGGCGCGGCACGGGACAAGGTAACCTTGTGGCGCAAGTGGTCGCTGCCGTGGCCGTTGGCCGCGTACCCAGCCTTGGCGCAAAGCACGGTCGCGAGCTCGACATCGACAAAGATGTAGTCCAGACGGTTGATGCGGTTCGGTCCACTGAAGATCCGCGACGCTGGGTGTTGAGTGCGCCAGACGTCGACCACACGCAGCGCTGTGAGCCACTCGACACAGGCGACCTTGCCGCGCCCGACGTTCCGGTCCGGCACGGCGTTGGACGAGTCGAGCTTCGAGTTGAGGTACAGATTGAAGTCGCCGCCGACGAAATGGAGGCTCGTCTCCTCAAAGTCGCGCGGCAGCTGGCGATAAAACGCGCCGCGCTCTTCCGGCCGCACAGGCGCGTAGACGTTGTGGACGTACACCGGCCGACCGTCCCACTCGGTGCGGACAACCAGGTACCGGCCCGGGACATCGAGATCCGCGAGGTGGCGAAGCCCGTCGTAGCCCGGCCATGACTCGTGAAAGTAGCTGGCAACGCCGCTGCTGCGCGATTGGGACGGTACCAGAGCATGCATACGGTGGTCCGAGATAAATAATTTCGACTTGAGGAGGCCCACTTCATTCTCGAGGTGGTACTCGAACGTGTCGAGCTGCTGCGCGTGCGAGAGACGAGTCTCTTGCATGAGGAAGCACGGAGTCGGGGTGCGGAGCTCCTTGGCGACGCCATGTCCGTTGTCGCGCAGGGTGTTGAGATTGATGGTGGTTGCGCTATTGGTTTAGTGGTAAAATATCTCGTTGCCATCGAGATGCCCCGGGTTCGATTCCCGGATGGCGCAGTTCTTTTTGTCACATATTTTTATACCATTAGCACGTACTTTTCCGCCCGCTTCTTTTGCACCATCCCACACCTTTTTTGGCCCACTCAATTAATTAAAAGAGATTTTTTTGGTTTTCGATGATTTTTTCATCACGTCATTTATCACGGATAAAAATCGCCATAAATCATCGCACGCTTACCACAGCTCATACTAGTCAACAACTACTCTCAGAC